TATACAATATTGATAAAGGAATCAGTGGAATATTTCCTTCAGTGAATAAACTTGTGCCACAATGGAACTATCTCATGAAGGGGCGCCAAATTGATCTTTGCCTAGGGCGGCAGAATTCCTGACACAGACTCTGACTGACACATACAGATACCAACACTGACACTTACACAAACATACAGATACACAGACATATGGATACAGAGACAAACAGTTACACACACTGACACATACACAGACATACAGATACACACATTGACACATAAACTGACATGCAGCTGCACAGACATACAGATACACACTGACACACAGACATACAGATACTCACATTGACACATACACAGACATACAGATACGCACATTGACACACATATAGATACACACATTGACACATACACAGACATACAGATATACACACTGACACATACAGACATACAGATACATAGACATACAGTTACACACACTGACATATACACAGACATACAGATACAATCGTTGACAAAGACACAGACATACAGATACACACACTCACATACAGACATACAGGTACCAACACTGACACATACGCAAACATACAGATACACAGACATACAGAAACACACACTGACACATACACACACGGACACATGCAGACATACAGATACCAACACTGACACATGCACATACCTACATATACACACACTGACATATACACAGACATACAGATACACACACACTGACACACAGACATACAGATACACAGACATATAGATATACACATTGACACATACACAAACATACAGATACCAGCACTGACACATACACAGACATACAGATACAGACACTGATACATGCACATACATACAGACATAAACTGACACATACACAGACATACAGTCACACACACTGACACATACACACACTGACACATGCACAGGCATACAGATACCAACACTGATACATACACAGACATACAGATACACAGACATATAGATAAACACACACTGACACATACACAGACATAGAGATACACAGACAAACAGATACCAACACTGACACACAGACATACAGATTCTAATACCCAAAACTCACATAATTTTAGCCACCCTCCTGGTACTACCTTTTGGGAGCAAGAGAGTGGCTTCCATGGCTGTGGCTGTTGGGAATTGGGTTGCTTGCTTGTCTCCCGGTCCAGCTCCCCACCTCGCAACTCTCCACCTGCACGGCTGACAGTGTGTCAACTGGGAGGAAGTGACAGGCTCGCACTACCTCCCAGCTCTCCCTGCCAATTAGAAGGGGCCCTGTCGCACAATTAAAGTGCCACAACACACGGCCGGGCCCCTCATGGCAGATGTCCATCAGGGGGCCCTAAGTGCATGGGTCATCGGATGGATTCACAGTCGCCATTACCAATTTCTTTTTGTGTACCCTGTAGGCACTGTTTTGTAACCCTGGTATGCATACCATGGCTTGGGAACCCCTGCCTTAAGGGTATGATCTTCTCTCATGCTGGCCTTTTACTTCTGATGCTGTGTCCTTTAGGGGATGAGAAAGCACTCTATGGACAAATCTTTTTTTTAGTAGATAAACAATCAAAAATAAAACCTACTTGCAAGCTGTCCCCTTTTTCCCAAGCATGGATTTTTAGACTGTACAAGGGAACACTCCAATCAGAGGTATCTCATTGAGGAGCCAATGTGCTGGAGCCGCGAGCCATGTGCACTTTTGCACAGTGTGCCTGTGGCTTCCTTTAGTTTAGAAAAAAACAAAAGAAGTGAAAGAAAACCTATCTGGCTGTCTGTCAGCCAGTGAAGTGTTTGTGCTCCCAGTATTAAAAGTACCGATTTCTATTAAAATCTGCTCTTTTATAAACTATCAAGAAAATTACGGACTCCAGACACACAAATCACTTCAGCAAGCTAAAGTGCTTTTGTTGGTGTCGATTGTTCCTTTAATCAGGTAACCCTGACAAGTTCATATACCATTATTGTCTAAGTTTATTCTATAATAAAAACAGTTATGCATCACATGAGATGGAGCAATATAGGGTAAATGTATGTGTATGAGACAGAATAGCATATTGTAAATGTATGTGTATGTATGTGTGTGAGACAGAATAATGTAGTGTAAATGTATGTACTTGTGAAAAAGGCATTTCACCTATAAAATAAGAACAAGTGCTTTGATTTGCTTTGGGAGACGCATCCAGCATTATATACTAAAGTAATAACTGCTGGGAATTCAAGTGTATTTCAAAATGAAGGCCAAACTGTAAGCATATTCGATTTGTAGAATTTTTTTCCAGTTCAGCTATTTTGTTTTTAATTTTGAAATTGACTTTAAGTTCCCAACAATTCTCACTTTAGTGAAGAACTCTGTTTGTTTGTTGATCACATTCTATTGAAGGTGATACCGGTATTTAAAATCTTCAACTGACATTTCTCTAGTGTCACACACAAACGGTAAGCATTAAGGTTGTTAAGTTCTATGTGTGATAAAGATTACCATGATAGAGGCTAGCTAATAACTTACAAAATGTATTGTTAACAGGTTTGTGGGGAAAGGGTCGACAAGGTTAACAAAGTTCCAAGGCCAAATTTAAAGCAATTTGTTGTCTGCTGGCAAACTGAGTTCATAATTTAAAAAAAATCAAACAAAAGTGCCACAATGTGGACATATATGAAACATTATTTTAACTGGAGAAAACAGTATAATGGGCTCACTTACCATGGTTGTAAGAGTTGATAGAAGGTGAAAAGGACACTTTTTTTATTAACCATGACATTTCCACTGCTAGTATAACAGAATGGGTGGTGATATTCTGCAGTCTCCTCATTTACAGGTTTATAGGTGGTGGCGGGGGATGCCAATTCATTTATTTGTCAAGTTGTTTGCTGTATCTGTAGTTCAGAACTTATTCAAGGCCACTCAAAGGTACCCTTGTGCAATTTGGACGATAAGAGATTTTGTGAAATACCTCTGCATTTCTGTCTTCATAATGCACAAACATTACTTAGTTTTTTTTTCCCATAATCTAAATATAAAATGTGAAATTTACTGAGTTACAGATATGTAATCCTTCAATCTATGCAGGGGCGTACCTGGAGCATTTGGCACCCGGGGCGGATCCTATATTTGGCACCCCCCCACGCCCTCTCCTCTCCCCCCCAGTTTAAAAATTTAAAAAACACCCACACATTTTTTACATGTACTTAGCACTGAGCAGTGTTTGTATTTTTTTTTTTAATGTATTTAGCACTTAACAGTGTTTGTGTGTTTGAATGTAAGCATGTTTTTGTATGGACTATGTGTGAGTGAATGTACGGGTGTGTTTGCACGTATTGGCATTTAAATGCAGGCGTGCATTTTTCTGTAGTGTGGTTTTTTAATGTGGTGTTCTTTTATGTAGTGTTGACATTTGGATGCAGAGTTGTATTTATGAGTAGTGTAGGTGAAATGCTGAGATGTATGCACATATACGCACATATACTCACATATACACACACTGGCACAAATACACAGAAACATAGGTTCACACATGCAGTTACATAGAAACACAGTCATACACATATACAGACAAACACTGACACACATAAAGATACACACACATATACAAACACACATATATATATACAAACACACACACACATAAAGACACTCAGAGAGAGACACACAGGCACCTACACACATACAGAGACACACACATACAGACACACTGATACAAACACAGACACACAAACAGATACACAGACACACACTGACACATACAGATACACATATACCAACACACATGCTGATACACAGACACACATATATAAGTGTGTGTCTGTGTGTGTTTGTATAGTGTAAGCAGTGTTTGTATAGTGAATGCAGTGTGCTTGTATAGTGGATAATGATGTAAGGGAGGGGGTGTAGGTGAGATAGAGGGGATGATGGTGAGAGGGAGGGGGTGATGGTGTGGGGGTGATGGGTGTAAGGGAGGTGGGTGATACGAGGCAGGGGGTAATACTGTGAGGGAGGGGTGATGGTGAGAGGGAGGGGGTGATGGCCTGAGGCAGGGGTGAAGGTGAGAGGGGTCATGGTGTGGAGGGGAGTAATACCGTGATGGAGGGGGTGATGGTGTGAGGGAAGGGGTGATGGTGTGAGGGAGGGATGGTGAGAGGGGAGGGTGGATTGTGTGGTGAGGGAAGGTGGGATGGTGAGAGGGAGGGAGGGGTGATGGTGAGAGGGAGGGGTGATATTGAGAGAGAGGGGGGTGATTGTGTGAGGGTGGGGGTGAAGGAAGGTGGTGATGGAGAGGGAGGGTGATGATGAGAGCGAGGGAGGGTGATGGTGAAAGGGAGGGGGTGATATTGAGAGAGAGGGGGTGATGGTGAGATGGAGGGGGGTGATTGTGAGAGAGAGGGGGGTGATGGTGAGAGGGAGGATGGTGTGAGGGAGGGGAGGTGATGGTGTGTGGGATGGGGGTGATGGAAGGAAGTGGGACTAAATACCTTATTTAATTCCCTGGTGGTCCAGTGTGGGCTCCCTGGTGGTCCGGTGGTGATATCCAGTCTGCAGCTTCGCAGTGTGCAGAGCTGCTGACCATAAATCTTGCGAGACTCAATCAGAGCATTGCTGTGGTAACCAGTGGCAACGCTCTGATTGATCAGATCTTGCGAGACACGTGGTCTGCAGACTGGTGTCTGCGATGGGCGCTGGAGGGGCATCGCACCTGGCGGCATATCGAGCAAGCAGCCGGGCCCCCTCATGGTGTCGGGTCCTCGGTCACTGACCCAGGACCCGACACAGTCTGCCCCGGGCACACCCCTAGTGAGTGGTACCCGGGGCAGACCACCCCCTCTATCCCCATCCCCCTAGGTACGCCACTGGATCTATGCAAGACGATTTGTAGCAGTTGAAAATGAGTGTTCTGGCCTGTATT